CCTACCTTCATGATTCGTGTTTTGGCTGAGAATTGTGACACTATAGATCATCACCTGTCTGAGAATAGTGACACTATAGATCATCTCCTGTCTAATGGAGCATTTCTTTTCCATCAATGCCATCGTGTTGAAGCTTCCCGTTCCCCCCCCCCAGGCTCTGCGCTTTGAGAGGTGCCTATTATACAACTCACATACCACTGCTAAATGCTCTACCCAACCAGTTTGTTCTCATTTTCGCGGACCTCATCTCCATCACCAATGTTCTCGCTTAAGCTCTCCTCCCTTCTGCAACACTTGCCATCTTGATCATCCTACATACTCCTCTAAGTGTCAGGGTAAACCTACCCCCAAGACTGATGATCCTGCTTCTGTTGCTCCAATGCATACCACCGATACCATTACCCCTCTGGACAACTCTGTTGCTATGTCTCCTACCACGGAGGATATCATCCGTTTCATCACATTAATATTACAAAATGTCCTCCCCTTCCAATTTCCGTTAGTTCTGGATCATATTATCCGTGCTGCTAAGACTGTCTTTTGCCTTCACATGCAGACCACTTATTCTGGACTTAACTCTCACTTTCTATTTCGTCGTCTATGGGATCTGGCAGAGACTACAAATTGAAGTTTTTATTTGTCAATATTCGCTCTCTTCTTCATAACCTCCCCCTCCTGGAGATCTTGTTAGACGGCAGCTCCTATGCTTGTGTTCTCCTTAATGAAACTTTTCTGAAACACACTCAAAGAATCCATCTGTCAGGGTACACTCTTCTTCCCCATGATCATCCTATGGGTCGGGCCCGAGGAGGTGTGGCAATCGCTACACGTATTCGCCTTCCCGTGTGCCTACATTCCCTTCCACAGTCCACTTACCCTGAGCATACGGTAGCCACTGTTTACTTCCCATCTCGTATCATCACTATTGCAACTATCTACATTCGTCCGGGAATTCCCTTGCCCAATGCCTTTCTCTCCTTTCTGGATCACTCTTTTCGCAGCTATGTTCTTCTCGCTGATGTCAACTACCACAGTAGGACCTCTGCCGAACTTGTCCGTTTTCAGTCCTCTTAATGTTCCTTTCTGGTTCTTTGCTACCCCTACCTGCCCCTAGTCGTTCAATTTCTTATTCGTCACCTGATATTGTCTTTGTTTCTTCCAACCTAGTTCCTTTTATCACTCTCCAGATGTGTCCTCCAGTGGGTAGTGATCATCTCCCCATAGAACTTTGTGTCCATTTGCAGTCCTTGTCTGTTCCTCGTGCTTCCCGTCGGACTCATCTAAATTTTCGTTCTGCCGACTGGAAATCTTATGCTTCACACATTGCTAGTGCCATACCAGATATGGATCGACCTCTTACTACAACAGCCGATGTTGACTCCTTCGCCACCTTAGTCATCACTATTCTCTCTGATGCCAGTGCTTTACACATACCGAGTTCTTCTTCAGCTCCCCGTAAACCAGCCTTACTTTGTAGAGCTGTAGATCTGTTACATCACTCTTCCACTTTATTGCGTGAATACCGTCGATTTCATGATCCTTTGTTGCTGCAACAATCCCAGGGTCTTCAACGTACTACTCGTAATTTTGTTTGGGCAGTCCGACATCAGCAATGGCATTAGGCCTGTAACAAGCTCGATCATTCCTCTTCTTTCTCGCAAATCTGGAACCGTTTTAAGCTCTTCACAGGTCAACGATGCTTTCCCTCCTATCCTATACTTGTTGATGTAGCTGCACCTTCTACATCTTTGGACAAGGCCAATCATTTTGCTGATTTTCTTGAACAGAACTTTCAAGTACCGGAACGTCATATTCTTGACTACAGTGACATTATAACCACCGTTAACTCAACCGTTGCCTCCCTCATTGACCTTACTCCCAGTTCGTCTTATGCTGTTGGCAATGATTTCTTACATGCTCCCATT